ATGAAATAATTAATAGTTTATTTCATGTAGAAGGTGCATGATTTGTATACTATAAAGTATAAAATACTGCTGGCTGCCATCCTACTTCTAGGTATATATCGAAAACTATTCACGGAGGATCTGCAAGAGACATTTACACACCTGCATCCGTTACAATGTTATTCAGAAGAGCCTACATTTGATGGAAGCAACTCAAATGTCCATGGATAGTTGAATGAATGAATAAAAGTTACTGTATATATGTGATGCAATATTATCTTGCTAAAAAATAAAAAGAGGTATTATTACCTGATACCACAAAGAGAAACATTGATGACACTTTTTCACTGAGGTACACAAGTCACAACGAGCCAGATACTACAGGATTTCCCTCAGGTGAGTAATCTAATGTAGTCCACGTTATTAAAAAAAAAAAAAAGGTAGTTACAAGTAAGCCTTCCTTTTAAAGCAAATGAGAAAGTAGTGGTTTAATACATAACGAGAGATTTCTGCAAGATGGAAGTTTTGAGAGATCAGATATACAACACAGAGTGTAAGAATCTATCCTAGAAAGCAGAAGCCCCCTAAAGATATCCTATACAATAAAAAGCCTAATATGCTAAGTGTCTGGTCGACCAGTTGGCCGTTCAACCAATCAAAGCGTACTAGCCGTAACCGGTTTGGCTCAGTGGATAGAGCGTTGGCCTGCGGACTCAAGGGTCTCGGGTTCGATTCCGGTCAAGGGCATGTACCTTGGTTGCGGGCACATCCCCAGTGGGGAGTGTGCAGGAGGCAGCTGATCGATGTTTCTCTCTCATCGATGTTTCTAACTCTCTATCCCTCTTCCTTCCTCTCTGTAAAAAAAATCAATAAAATACATTAAATAAAAAACAAAAAAAACCCAAAGCATACTATGTTAATGATAATGCTAAGGCAGTTCAACTGCTTGCTATGACATGCATTGACCACCAGGGGGCAGACACTCTGACCAGTAGGTTACCTTGCTGCTGCGGTCCAGCTGAACAGGACTGAGCAAGAGGGGCAGACACACCCTGGAGCACTCCTGCAGTCCCTCCCGGCTAGTCAACCTCTCACGTCTTTCACTGGCCCCGTTCATTCCCCAGTTGGGTCCCTAGGCGGGCCTGTGCCATCTTGCAATACGGGATCTCTTGGGGGATGTCAGAGAGCCGGTTTCGGCCTAATCATGCAAGACAGGACAAGGGACCCCACTGTTGCACAAATTCGTGTACCGGGCCTCTAGTTAAAATAATAAAAGGAACAAAACCCCTGAATAGGAATTCAGGAAAGAACTCATCCGCACCCACAGAGGCCAGGTTGCTGTAGTTCTCCAACATCACATCCAGGTACAATTTCCGCTGATCTGGGTCCAGGCATTCCCACTCCTCCTGAGAGAAATCTATGGCCACATCCCTGAAGGTCAGCAGTCCCTGAAAGAAAAGATTCATTTACCAAGAGGTCACCAGAAGAGTCCTTAATGTCATTCAATATGAAAACAGTGTTAGAAGAGGTTTGGACCTAGGGGTGTATCTTGAATCATCCAATAAGATCACTTTGCCCTCGTGACATTGTCTAATGTGTTTTCGAACACTTACAAATGAGGATGACACATGTCCAACAATCCATGGTACAGATTTTGCTTTTCAGGAAAATAAAGTTAAAATTAAGGCGTGGACACAGGTATATGGATTTCTGAGTGCTGTGTTTGCATCCTTAAGGGTCAGTAGTATATATTTCTCAGCAGGAAATGTCAAGATGAGTCTGAAATATAAGCACTTCAAGTGTAACACAAAAAACGACTGCAGTTTTCTGAAAATACAGATGCGGATCCACATTTTGAGATGGGGCCTCTGTTTCCACTTGGGTTACAAGCTCACTTTTTACTTGTGATACCAATGTTACCGGATCACGTGCCATATGTCTGGATACACGAAAAATGAAAACACAGGAAAAATTAATATATATAACTTTGATCTCAAGGGGTCTGTTAAAGGAATTTACAGTTCTCATGGAATAGAACATATAGAAGCCACAATCCTATTTGAAAACTTACTATGGGTAATCTTAGAACAAGATCATCTGCCTGGTCCAGTGGGTGTGCCTCAGTGGTTGAGCATTGACCCATTAGCCAAGAGGTCACTGGTCAGGACACATGCCCAGGTTGCCAGATTGATCCCAATGTGGGGTGTGCAGAATGCAGCCAATCAATGATATCCTCATCATTCATGTTACTATCCTCCACTCTCTCTCTCTTCCTTTTAGCAATCAATAAAAATATACTTCAAGAACAAGAGACGGATGCCCTGACCAGTTTGGCTCAGTGGATAGAGCATCGGCCTGTAGACTGAAGGGTCCCGGGTTCGATTCCGGTCAAGGGCATGTGCCTGGGTTGCGGGCACATCCCCGGTGGGAGATGTGCAGGAGGCAGCTGATCGATGTTTCTCTCTCATCGATGTTTCTGACTCTCTATCTCTCTCTCTTCCTCTCTGTAAAAAATCAATAAAATATATTTAAAAAAAAAAAAAAGAACAAGAGAGGGAAATATAGCAACTGCTGACATTGACTATCACCAGAAAATAGGAAAGAAATAAGGAAAGGAAAACAACCTAGCAAGGCAAAACATCAACAGTAGAGAAATAAATCCAAAGATATTAGTTTAAAAGCAAATACAGTCTCTGACCCAGGACACATCTCTTACCTGAGAAGCAGCCATCTGGTCCCAGCTACTGATCCTGGTCCTGGGAAGTTTTCTCAGGTGACAATATGTTGAGGAGTCACAGAATGTGCCTTCAAAGGCATCTGCACAGCCTGTTAATCAGCTCACCTCACACCCACAATGAGAAGAACCTGGAAATGAGGAAAAGGCCACCCCATCCTGCATTTGTCACAGGAGAGACTCAGAAACATTGAGCTCCTACATGTGAGGTGTTTTGATTTGTCTTCATGTGTCTGTCCTTCCAAAGACTTCCACAAACTCCTATAGCAACCAGAGCATGTGCTGATTTCCTGAAACACCAAACACAACAGAGCACCCCTAACATCCCCCCAAAAAAGCCTACACCGAGGCCCACGCTATGCCATCTTTAACCAGTTCACGCCTGAGGCCTGTGAGGCTCTCCTAGAGCTGATTTCAGTAGCGCTGGGTAACACATCAAACCCAGCACGCCCGAGACCTCTGGGTAGTGTGATCTGTCACAGCACAGCTGCTCTGAGTCCATATATTCTTCTGAATTCTGCTGGATGACGCCATGTGTCAGAGTAGGATCCATTTCTCCAGGGTTGCTTACTCCTAAATCCTGCCCGTAGTGCTAAATGTGAGAGCAAGTTCCACCTTGAACCCTGCTCGCTGCACCAACTGTTGGGAACTTAGTCTAAGTTCCTCCTTTACTCTCAGCTCAACTACCCCAACTGTGGGGTTGGAGCCCCTCTGCCAGGGGCTGGACCTTCTTGAACACCAACCAGCAGAAGGAGAAGCCATGAGAAGATGTGGGTATATAAGAGAGTCTTTATTATAGAGCTAATCTGGGGATGGGCCCGCAACCAAGGCACATGCCCTTGACCAGAATCAAACCTGGGACACTTCAGTCTGCAGGCTGATGCTCTATCCACGCATCAAGGTGGTATTGCAGTACCTCTGGAATGGTGCAAGAAGAAAAACAAAGAAAGAAACAAACAAAAACACCCACAAAAACAATTAGGGTGGTGATTTTTTTTTTAAATGTAATGATATCTAGGTTTAAAAGATGTGAAAATGTGGAGACTACCTTATATTAAGAAAAGAATGGCCCAAACCGGTTTGGCTCAGTGGATAGAGCGTCGGCCTGTGGACTGAGGGGTCCCGCGTTCGATTCCGGTCAAGGGCATGTGCCTGGGTTTCGGGTACATCCCCAGTGGGAGGTGTGCAGGAGGCGGCTGATCGATGTTTCTCTCTCATCGATGTTTCTGGCTCTCTATCTCTCTCCCTTCCTCTCTGTGAAAAATCAATAAAATATATTAAAAAAAAAAAAAGAATGATAAGAGCTGCTTGTGAGATGTCACCAATGCTTATTTCAGCAGTTAATGACTATTAACATGAATAAAATCTCAGAAATCCATGGGAGAGAAGAAAAGATTGATCCTTCTATTCCTTATAAAGCATCCTGTGGGGGCAGATCAGTCATTCCTTGTCCCAGGTCACCTCCTTCTTGCCATCCCAGCAAATGACAAGGGGCCCCTCAGGAACATACCAGTCTCTCCCTCTGTGTGAATAAGGTTTGCAAATGGAAGCAAATAAGTATACATTTGGCAAACTTCATAAACTGGAGATTTATAATTCTCAGTCAAATCTGCTTCAATAACTCAGTTGTTAAATTAACCATATCAACACCCCAGCCGAAATACCACAACTTAACCATCCACACACCATCAGCTCCCTCTGATTCAAATTAGGGTTCCCCTCCTCCCACTACTATGTATTTCTGTCTATGGATCTGTCTCTGTCTCCCCCCCACACCCCTATGGGCCCCTCTCTGTGGACCCCTCGCTGCCCTTTCTCCCGCCCACGTGTCTGTCTCTCACTCCCTCTCCTGACCCCCCAGCCTGGGCCCCCGCCCCCCGCAGTCACCGCGCCCACAAAGCCCCTCCCTGCGGGCAGGTCGCCTCTTCAGGGGACACCGCGTCCTCCCCGAGCCCCCCCATGGACACTGTGCTCCCCGGGCACGCAGACCCCTTATTAAATGGGGGTGGGCCTAGGAGGGGGATGCAGACCCCCAGGCCGGGAGCCATCCGGGCTCTTTGGGCGGAAAGCGCCGGGCGGGGGAGGGGCGCAAAGGGCGGGGACCCCCTGACCTAGACTCTCAGCCCCGCGGGGAGGACCGGCGGCCCCGGGAACGGTTTTCAGCAGGAAAACCGCGCGGCAGGCGGTGGCCACAGCCACAGGCGGAGAGACCCCGGGCCGGGGCCTCCGTTTCCTCCCAAAGGCACGTGGCGCCCGCACCGCGCAGCCTCCCGGGACGCGGACTCACCGCTGAGAGAGGCTCCGGGGCGGGGACCCCAACAAGGACTTCAGCGCCGGCAGCGCCCTCAGCCTTCCCTGCGGGGAGGGGGACGGGGAGCGTCAGCTTTAAAGACAAACACCCTCCTCAGGGGAACCGCCACCTTCCCCTCCACGGCCGCTTCCGCGTCTGCAAGGAACTGCGCATGCGCCTCCCTGCGGGGTGGGCGGGGCCAGAGCCTGAGCTGAGCGGCTCCGCGATGGGGGCGGGGCCGAGCCCGGCGGCCAGGCCTGTGCAGGGACAGAGGGAGGGAGGGCGGGGCAGGAGCGAGGGGGCAGCCCCGGTCCCCGCACCTCCTCCCACAGGGACAGCCCTTCCTGGGGGAGTTTCCCACGTCATTGTCAGGGTTTTGGCTGGTGACGCGGCTGCAAAAGGATTCACAAGGGAGAGAAGAGACAGGAGCAGAGAGAGGGCGTTTATTTTACTTCTTTAAAGGGAGGAAAGGGCCAGGTGCCCGATGATGGCACAAGGCACCCCAGATAGAGGGGCTGTTCCTTTATTAGGGTGCTAGCGAGTAAATGGCAGCTGTGGCAAAAGCATAAAGAGGGAGGAGGAACCTGGAATTCACACAGAAGTTTCCCAGATCCCAGAGGCTGTGCTTAGAGCTATGGCTGGTCTGCCCTTCAGCTGCAGGTGTCCCAGGGAGGGGTCTTTCCCGGGATCTTCACAAGCCGGGAACACATTCTCACAGTGAAGTTACAGAGAATTTGAAAGGCGGGCAGATTGGGTTTTGTTGGAAGCTATCCATTGTCTTCACTATCAGAGAAGTGTAAAAAAGGAGCCCTAAATGCTGGTGAACATTGAGCCCTGGCAAGGGCCAGAGCTAGGCACTGATGGGTTAGTTGAGACAATGGTAGCTCAGCAATTTCCTGACCAAATAGTCTGAGAGTAAATCTTTATTTATATTACTGACCTTTAAGATAGCCCGTCTTAAAGTTACCGGAATTGCCTGCCTAAGGGCTATATGTTTATCCAAAATTGAATAAAAGTTTGGCAACACCTGGGCACCAGTGGGAGTCCTTCCCCTTGAGTTGGACTTTCGCCTGGCCCCCAATATTTCCAAATTATTATTTCTTGTCTCATCTCTGCCATTTGCCCGTGGCCCTTCTCCAGATCCCAAACCCTGAACCACGCGGGACATGGTGTCACCCAGGGGTAGAAATCAGAAACTTTCTGCCTCTAATTTTCCTGGAGTCCTTAAACCCTCAGTGATGGGGGGGCAGCCTGCTCTCTCAGCCCCTCCCTGTCTCCCCATCTGAAGGGAGAGGCAGCTTGAGTTAGGGAAGCAGGAGGGTGGGGGTGTCAGAGACAGACCCAGATATCCATTCATGGTTAGGCACCTGATGAGATAGTCCCATCCAACACCGTGGGAAACAGATTTCAATTCAAGTATTTTTCAAGGGATAAACTTTTTTAGTTGTAAGTTTTGGTCTTTGAAGTCTTTGTGTTTGGGAAGGCATTCTTGAATTAAATTACCTTGAATACTGTTTTTTCACTACGCACCTGTTATTATTTCATCAAGCGTTTGAATATAACACTTACTCCAAAATAAACACATGAAAAATAAACATTGCTGATTTACCTCAGAAAAAGACATGGAGTCCTAACTGGTTTGGCTCAGCGGATAGAACGTCAGCCTGTGGACTGAAAGGCCCCAGGTTCAATTCCGGCCAAGGGCATGTACCTTGGTTGCGGGCACATCCCCAGTAGGAGTTGTGCAAGAGGCAGCTGATCAATGTTTCTCTCTCATAGATATTTCTAACTCTCTATCCCTTCTCCCTTCCTCTCTGTAAAAAATCAATAAAATATATATTTTTTTAAGAAGACATTGAACGATCCTTCCTTGATAATGTCATCCAAGTAAAATTTTAAAGAATATGTACAGAAGGTGAAGGGGAGAAAAAAAAAGAGGAGACATATATAATACTCTTTGTAATACTTTAAGCAATAAAACAATTTTTTAAAAAAGAATATGTACAGAAAGGTTATTCTATCTCCTTTTATAAGGACTCCACTTCTATCAGAATAGGACCCCACGCTTGTGACCTCATATAACCTTAATGACCTCCCTAAACCCCCAATCTCCAAATACAGACATATTGGGGGTTAGGCCTTCAAAATATCCATTGTGAGGGGACAAAATTCAGTCCTTAAGAGCGAGTCAAGTTCATTATGTGTTATATAAAACCACCCCAAAATGGATTCTCTAAATGCAACAATACTTCAGTATTGCTTAGAATCATGGGTTGGTCAGGTAGTTGTTCTGCTTCATGTGCTATTAGCAAAAGTTTTGTCACCTTTTTCACTAGATCAAAACATGATTTCCCCAAACAAAAAAAACACCATTTCCCGTCCTTCCAGACTTCCATCCTAATTCCTTCACTTGCAGCGTCCACTAACAGTCTCCTTTCAGCCTGTATCCACTAGCCCCGTGGTCGGCAAACTGTGGCTCTCGAGCCACATGAGGCTTTTTGGCCCCTTGAGTGTGGCTCTTCCTAAGCCTTAGGAGTACCCTCATTTAGTTATTAACAATGTACCTACCTATATAGTTTAAATTTTAAAAATTTGGCTCTCAAAAGAAATTTCAATCGTCGTACTGTTGATATTTGGCTCTGTTGACTAATGAGTTTGCCGACCACTGCACTAGCCAGTCCCAGGACCATGTCACACGCATTAGGTTTTTATTACTGAGCACCTCAATCTCAGGAACTCTTTTCTCTTACAACTAGTCTTTGTTGTGAAATAAAACACCCCAAGTTCAGTGGCTTAAATTAAGCAAAATTCTTCATTGCACGTAATTCCGGGGTGGCTGAGCCTTTCTTTGGTGCTTTCACTTAGGCCAGGGGTCCTCAAACTATGGCCCAACATTTATCCGGCCCACCAGGTGTTTTTGCCACAGCTGCCTGTTGCTTAGCAGCCGACTGTCCTGGGCCCAGAGTGCGCATGTGTGGAATGCACGCTGCTCTCTCTGACTCCCCTCCTTCTCTCTGTCTCTCGACTCCTCCTCTCAGTCTCGGTTGTGATCAGAGGAGTCACGAGCTTGCCTGTGCAGAGCCTGCTGCTGCATTTTTTTTTTTGAAGTTAGGAGGTCTATTTTTTTTTTTTTTTTGCAGTTAGTAGGGCCTTTTTTTGAAGTTAGGAGAGCCTTTTTTTTGAATTTTTTTTTTAATATATTTTATTGATTTTTTACAGAGAGGAAGGGAGAGGGATAGAGTTAGGAACATCGATGAGAGAGAAACATCGATCAGCTGCTTCCTGCACAGCCCAAACTGGGGATGTGCCCACAACCAAGGTACATGCCCTTGGCCGGAATTGAACCTGGGACCTTTCAGTCCGCAGGCCAACGCTCTATCCACTGAGCCAAACCAGTTAGGGAGAAGTTTTGTTTTTTTTACTTCAAAATAAGGTATGTGCAGTGTGCATAGGAATTTGTTCATAGTTTTTTTTTAAACTATAGTCCAGCCCTCCAACAGTCAGAGGGACAGTGAACTGGCCTCCTGTTTAAAAAGTTTGAGGACCCCTTACTTGGGCTAATAGATGCAGGTGCCTCCAGCTGGCAGGGCAGCTCTCTGGGGCCTCAGGAAGCTGGAAAATACCTTGCTTTGAAGATATTTTTTAAGACTTTTTAAAACTGAATGCCTTAGAGAGGAAGGCAGAGATGGAGAGAAACATCCAGGTGCAAGACAAACATCCATTGGTTGCCTCCCTAACATGTCCTGATATTTGGAATCACACCCTCAATTCAGGCATTTGTGGGACCAGGAATCAAACCTGCAACCTTTTGGTGGAGGGCACTACAGGCAACCAAATGAGCCAAATGGGACAGGGTTAGAAAGACCTTTGAGATAAACTTCCTTACATGGTGACATATTTGTCAGTCATATCTCATTTAATGTACCTTCAAATTTATTATATTTCCCTTCAAAGAGAATCTACAGCTCAGCAGGTGTGGCTCAGTGGGTTAGAGTGTCGTCCCTCCCACCAGAAGGTCTCAGATTTGATTCCCAGTCAGGTCTGGTAACTGGGTGGAAGGTTTGGTCTCCAGCCTGCCCTGTGTGCCTGAGGGAGGCAACCAATTGATGTGTCTCTCTCATATCAATGTTTCTGTCTCTCTACCCACTATCCCTCCCACTCTCTCTAAGATCAATGGAAAAAATATCCTTAGATAAGGATTTTAAAGAGAGAGAGACTACATTTATTTTTTGAATATTTTATTGATTTCAGAGAGGTAGGGGGAAACATCAATGATGAAAGAGAATCAATGTTCCAGACTCCTGCATACCCCCTGTTGGAACTGAAGGGGAAACCCAGGCATGTGTCCTGACCAGGAATCTAACCTGACCTCCTGGTTCACAGGTCAATGCTCATCCACTAAGTTACACAGGCCAGGCCACACGTTTACTTATATTACTAGAGGCCTGGTGCACTGCTGGGGTCCCTCCGCCTGGCCTGTGGGGATCAAGCCAAGACCGGCTCTCCTATATCCCCCAAGGGGTCCCGAATTGTGAGAGGGTCCAGGTCAGATAGAGGGACCCCACTGGTGCACAATCAGGGCCTGGGAGAGATGGGGGAGAGCTAAAGGGCGTGTCTGGCCCATCTTGCTCAGTCCCGATCAGCTGGACCACAGCACCAAGCTAACCTTACTAGTCAGAGTGTCTGCCTCTTGGTGGTCAGTGCACATCATAGCTATCAGTCAAATGGTTAAATGAGTGGTTGGACACTTAGCATATATAGGATTATAACCTATTTGACCGTCCCCTGACTCCTGAATTCTCCATTTATTGTTTTGTTTTCTCTTTCTGAATGATCTGTTACGTATGGATAATAAACCTGCCAAATATAAACACTGGAGACACGAAGACATAGTTTTAGCTCAAGAATCATTAATTCTGGCCCCAGCCAGTGTCGCTCAGTGGATACAGCACTGGCTCATGGACTGAGAGTCCTGGCTATGATTCCGGTAAAGGGGACGTACCCACCTTGCAGGGTGCATCCCTGGCCCTTGCAGGAGGCTACCAATCTATGAGTCTCTCCCACAAAGATGTTTCTTTCTGTCTGTCCCCCTTCCTTTCAGTCTCTCTAAAAATCAATGGAAAAATAT